TTGCCACTCGTCTTATTTATAATTCATGGCGATAATCTCCTCAATTTTTGTACCCAAAGAATCTAACTTATTAATTTTGTGGATTATAAAAGTGTTATTTTACCTAGAAAGAAATTACTGTTTACATGTAATTGAAAAGTGAAACGCGTTTTTAAGAGGTCATCTGGATCCCAAGAATAGTTAGAAAATCGTGGAGTACTTTTTAAAACTGGGGTACAGACGCCAGAGGCGACGATCGTACAAAAAAATCCGTGACTTTTCGTTGGCGGCGCACGGTTTTTGCCGTCATTAATTCCAGAGGATATCGCCGGCGTCACGGCAAGGGCGACTTTCTTTTCCTCGTACGAGCACAGATTATGGATCCACCGTTTTCTCTGCGGACGAGTTCCTGAAAAAAGGAGAGAGGACCGGGACAGACGACGACGCGGCTCGGTACGTACGTTTTTCGATGGCCCGTCATGAACCGAGGGAAACGACCTTTCTCGCAAATGGCGAGTGCTTTGCATTAGGAGCTGGGCTACAGCCAAACTGGAAAACTTCCGTTATTCGTTTGCATACGTCATCGGGTAAATGCAAACCAGAGATCATGCGATTTTATCAAAAAGAGGACAAATGGTAATTACGTTCGCGAACATCAGAGGATTGCCAAAAAGGAGTACTGATAAAATGTTTGATATCTCTGATGGACGAATTCGTTTTACGTACTGAGTAGATGGTTCCTTAAAATTAGAAATGTTGAAAGTTGAGCCAGGAGATAAAATATGGAACTAATCGGGGAGACAGAAATGAAAACCGGCTCGGACTCGAAGAAAGGACGCCATGAATGGGTTTCACATTTTATGGACGTCAAAGTCACGACGAGACTCAGGAAGAAACAGTACAGTTATGGGGAAAAACGGTGAGACACTCTTGGCATCTTCTTTCGAAAGGAAAACGTTACGATGACGTGATCCCCGTGGCAATTTTCTTGGGCGTTGCGGAATGGACGACACGCGACGCATAATCATTTCGCGGATACGGCGAAGCTCACGAATCGATTAGAAAGGAGTTACGTGACGGTCGTGTCCGAAGGTCGAATCGCGGAAGAAGAGAGTTTTTCATCAAGTCATCCGAGCACGACAGATATTCGCAAGGTTGAGAGTAATTAAAAGTAAATCGAGACAGACGTGGGTAGTTAACGACGTAATTAAGCCGTTGCAAGACGGTGCAATTCTCTCGTACACTGCATGTTCCAATAAATACAGCAAAATCGTATGTAATTCTCGTTAGATAAATCATAAAAAATGTTGTAAAAAAGCTAATTCCGTCGACTGCGATGATTTTTTGATATGTTATAAAACTCGTTATTCTGAACAAGTTTTGAAATATAAAGGAAACTCTTGCTTAATTCATTCAGATAATCAGGAAAAACTGTGAACAGAATAAACCTGACCGATGGACCAAATTCTATACTATCTACCTTTTTTCCATAAAATTATATACTGGATCTCATTGGACAGATCATCAAAAATATTGTAATTACTGCAGGACAAACATTTATGATACATATTTCATACTTTACGCAATAATAAAACCACTTCACCTCATCGTCTACAATTAAAATTGAAGAACCCGACGTGCACCTTGCACGGAACACGCGTGCGCCGGAACGTAACACGCGCTCGTAAATCGCGTGGTAACGAGCGCGAAAAAACCAATATAATCGCTTCGACCGCATACCGCTACGAATCAACACGTTGATCGTTTAGAAACGTTTGAAAAAGTACTAGTAATTGCACTTAACCCGTTAATCGTAGGCTGCTGCGGCACATCATCCGTACTTATATTACCTTTCATTGCGATTCTAGCGGAAACAAGAAAACAAGACATTATAAAATACGGTAAATCCTAATTCACAATGCGTTGTCGTGTGGCCAACGTAGAAAGGTTTAACGACCCGCTTATTGCGAGGACATAAACGTTTCACGGTTTAGCGAGAATAAGAAGACGAAGGTTGCACTTAACCGTTAGTGTCCCGCTGAAATTGCCCGGAGTCTCGTCACGGTGGCAAGCGTTGAATTCTGCCGCGTAGTTAACACGTAACCAGAGACACGCGCACGCGTCGGAACTCGTGGAAACCGCACGAGGATGAAACATCATCAGTAAAAATCGATTTTTCTCATCTGATCGTTCCTTCAAGGTTCGCGTTACGTAAAAACGGTGTTACGTCTCTTTGAATCCGTTCTTTCGCGTATACATACGAGGCGAGCAAAGCGGAGAATTTCCGAGAGCAAACAGGTACAAGGTACTCTTCCCGGAATTCGGACCGATTGGAAAAATAAATTCCAACTTTCGGACCGGGTGTAGGTCAACAAATGTGAAATTCGCACGAACCCGTCGGCGACTATTAGCTTTCGACGAATCCAGTTAGCACTACAGTTTCATTATTCATTAAACAGATCGCAATTGAGTTGGGAATTGTTGCCCGAGCACGCACGTAGATTTAAGAAGAGAGCAAATTATCGTTCTAAGAATTATTCCGTGGCAAACCTCCGGGGGAAGAAGTTAGTTTGGCAAAATTAGATTTCGCTCGAGCCGAGTTTTTATATTTCAACCGTACCGTGTCGACTCCTGAAAGGCTATCGAAACTAATCGAATTAAAAAGCTTCATGAATTTTAATACTTCCGCCACGAACCGGTGGAATGACTGACTCGCTCGATCGTGAAACTGTCAGCTGAATTTTCGATTACCCATGCAATTCCCTTATGATAATCTTGTCTTTTTTTAATATCTTTCAAGCTTGATCGATGTTTCCTGTATTAACTTACAAGGTAATTGTCCTAATTCCTACCAACCGGGCGTATTCTTCTATAATTTTAAGATAATGAATATATAAAATAAATACGATAAATAGTGTTTTTAATTGTTGTTAATTGCGTTGACATTAAATTTTTGCGTGATTCATTTGAAAGTATATTCAATTTCACAAGTAGTTTTCATTATAAATTTTTTATATATTATATACAGTTGATAGTAAAATGCATAGTTGAGTGAAAATTGGGACATTGGAAAATTGTAATAAATTATGTTCTTAAGAAAAACTTTCATTAGTACGAGAAAGTAAATTTTCTTAGGTATTTGGGACCAGCATTATTTTCAGAATTTAGTATGCATTTTAACAAGGATTGAAGGTAACGCGGTAGTTCTTTCTCGTTAAGTTTGATTCTCGTCACAACGCTGTTTACTCAGTTTATATTCTCGCGTTAAGATCTCGTTGGAAGTAGCACACCGTAACAGAACGTTATGCAACAGCGCAAGGCAAACGTGAATCTAAGAAAAATACCTCCTATCAGTCCCCTGATTCTAGTTGAGAATTAACAGCACGCTTACTGGAAACGTTCTCGTGATGTCACTATCGTAATCTCCTAAGCAATCACCATTTCGAGCATTGGTTTCCCAAGTGGAAGACAGTAAGGGATGACTCCCGTTTACTTCTAGCCAACCAAACAAATTCATCAGCGAACTGTGTCAATACAATAAACTTCGCCCGTAAAAGGTTCTGGGATAGCCCCACCGATAAGACCTTCGAGAGGGAAAAAGTTTCGAGGAACGGAAGAAAGCCGGAGTAGGGGAAAGAAAAAAGAGTAAGAAGTAACCCGTGGAGAGTCCGATTGTGGGTCACTCGGCGTCCCACTTTCTCCTTTCTCCGTGTGTTACTTACATTTACAGGTTCGCACGGAGAACCCGAGATCCTTCGACTCCGTCGCGCAAAAAGTAACACGATAAATCATTTCCATCACATTAAAAGTAAAAGAAGCTGAATCAATTTAATTTTTATAATCAATTTCTTATAATATTTATGAAAAATTAATTGCTTCTTAACTTGACAAATAAAATATGAAATAATATTGAAATAGTCGCACATAAATTAATACTAAAATTTCGGCAACCATGAAGGAAAAAACGTACTCTTCGGCAAAGATAAAAACGTGAATCAATGAGTAGCAGCAGGTGAAACGAAACAAAATGAAATGAAACGCCGCAATCGCGGTGCTCCGTCAAGCGGAGAGGTGGAAGCCCGGCGGAAATTTAGCGGTGCCTGGGGACCGGAAATAGCCGGGAGAGACTTGGCGCACGCAAAAGGGATCGGAAAGAAATACGCTCGATGCAAATTTCCCCGGTACCTATGGTCGACGCAACATAATTACCCTCGCGGAACAAGCCGGGGTTAAATCTGGGTGAGGGGGCGCGAAAAAGGTCCGGCTACAAAGCGATAATGCCCGGAAACGAGCAGAGATGCAAATGAGAGTCGCTGAGAGTGGACACGGAGCCAGCGTGGGAGAGAGAAACGATCTCGGCGCTACGCGGGACACAAGTGCGCACCGGTAATCGATTCCGGCGATCGAAACGAAGCTTTGCCGAGGGATTAGCCACGATTATCCGAATAATTAGGCGGGAGTTCGGTTGCCGGCACCCGAACAAATAAAGCTTCGGACCGATTCGAATTCCATCGGCAGAGGTATGTATATTTGCTCGCATAGCTGGCACGCATTTGCGTGTGCAACGCGGGAGGAAAAATTTCGCTACACGGCGCTCGGGGAGATCAAAACGAACTGCAGCGGCCCGCTGGTAATACCCCGATATATTCGATAGGGTGATCGTTGATTAATTTCGCGAAAAATCAAAAAGATTCTCTTTTCTAAAGAGACTCATCGTTCGTCAAAAATCATTTGTCTGATTCTAACAAATTTGCAATATAAAGTAAAATTAAATATGAAAAAAGATAAACTTTTTGTATTAAAGTAACAACGTACTACCGTCTAATTCTTGTTCGAGCCCTCCTGTGGGCGTCCAGCAATTTCGCGAGCCGCTGCCTTCGAGATTTCACGGGAATCCTCGTGTCTCGTGGTTCGTTTCGATTTAATCTCCCTGATAAAGGCGCCGCGCCGCGGTCCCACGGGATGACGGGACAGGGTGTGGGCGGCGAGAGATAAAAGAGCGATAAAACACAATGACTCACCGAGCGCCTTGCAGCTTCCGCCATGGAGGGAATCGCCGGCGAGCTGAATGATGGCCATGAGGAGATCGCCGAGCATCAGACAGGTGACATGATGAGTCTGGCAGCGCCAGTGCAGAACGTGATGAGAGGCTGGCAGCAACCATCCGGCGGCCAACGTTGCAGCCAGGAACACCGCGCTAATGATGAACCCTACGGGGTACAGGGTGAACCTGATGTCGGCCGCTTGCATTATCGGTCTGAAAATATTTCCGATAAAATTCATTTATTCTATCTGTATTTACAATATCTAATACGTAAGACAGAAATTGGTGAGAGTTAGCATCGCGGATTGGCATTATAGTGTTCAAATCATTTTGAAAATTTGAAGCGAGCAGTAAAAGGGAGGAAGAAATGTTTTGTCTTAATAATAGAAGAGAAAAGTTTAGAGCAAGTTATGTCTGTTTTTATTGATGTACGGAATTATCTTCTTCTGTGATCCTACAGGGGTTTGCCATTGTAATCCAGGAAGGGAAAGCAAGAAAGACTTTACTAATATATGTATGAGTAAGACGAGATATGAAATAAATAAGCGGCATCATAAAATAAATAGATAACTAAATTTGTTGAGTAACATGATTTGATTGTTTTTCACGGGCCTTTTGCATTAGTACAAACAGTAGATCGAGGTGATCTTATGTGTACCGTACAAGGTTCAGTGATTTTATTGCTTGTCAAACAGTGAGCTCATTGGATAAATTTTGTACACCAAAAGGCCAATCACCTTTATGATGCTTTATCGATAATTTTAACACTAAACCTACCGATATTTCTTGTATATCTGTTCTTATCGTTCCAGTCGTAAGAAAGTTATTGTTACTATAAATAAACGTAGATAATAGTGAATTTGTTACTGAATGCATTAATAAATCAAAAACTTTGATAAAATGACATTTTTATATTACTTCAATTATAAAATGCAAAAGAGAATTAAAAATAAACGGTAGTTAATTGTGTAGAAGTTTGAAAACAGTCGATGTGATCAGTAATGGTAGGTTTAATGTTAATACGAAACTCGTTTCACGTGTACGAATTCTCGAAAATCCACGTTGGCGTGAAAGTTAAGAAGAGAAATCAGTTTCGAGAGAAAATCATCAACATTTCTTCTCTCTAACACTCGAGGTGACTCCGCATGGAATGAAAGAAATGTTTTCTAGATAATCGACTCGCGTGGTCATGCGCCGCGAATAATTTATGCTTTCTACGTGAAGCTATCCATTTGCTTTCTTGCATCGTCCAGTCGGAGCTACTTTCGAGTATCTTGACGGACGGCGAACACCCTCAATTCCAAATAAAACGTCGTTCGGTGCCAAGCCGTGGCAAGGGCTTCGGGACTGACGACGACGGGGTCTGCTCGTTGCTCTGTGGCCCTTATACGCGGCACGTGTAAACGGCCGCGTTAATTGAGTTTCGAGCGTTGCTTTGCAAATTGAACGCGAAACCGTTAGTCCGCAGATACGCACGTTTTCCGTGTGCAATTTCCTGGACTCTTGTGCCGGACCACCCTATTAACATCGTTCTGGAATGCCGAGGGACCGAAAACGCGGCTCTCCAAACAGAATCGGTAACGTCGAAACCCGCGAAAGCTCGAAAGATATTCAAGAAATTCTGTTTCTGATTTCAGTAATTAATCCTCTTCTACGTTTCGTCCGATTAGCGCGTAAGAAGGATTGCAAACTTGTTTAGACGAATCACGTTCCCGTTTTCGCCGACGCTAAATAGTTTCAACTCTTTGACGGATTATGCTAACGAAATTTTACGTCGGAAGGATAAAATTTGTTTCACTGCAGGTAGATCAAATTCCTGGAAATGAGAGTTGGTATCACTTCGTGAGCTCATTCCTAAACTAATGGCTGACAGTCGAGCTCGGTTTCCCTTTCGTCATCGATATGTGCCTGGTCTCGAGTTACAGAATGGATCATCCGAAACGGAAGCGCGTGTTCACGGATGACGCAGCGCATCACGGGCACGAGGATATGGCCTAGAAATTCCTCGTCGAAGGAGTGAAAGTAAGGGCCAGAGAGCTTAGCCGACTTCTCGAGAGCCGAACCTCGGCTAACAACCATCGAGCATGCAATTAAAATCGTATGACCTCTTAAATAAGAACAATAACCTTTTGCGGAGAAATCTTATTGCTCATACACTATCTTGAGCCAATAAATACAGATCGAGATAACCGATATTCGTTCATCCTAGTCATTTCGTCGCTGTAAACAGGACGATCCACTTGCAAAGAGTGGACCGACCGATTTCAAAACCAATAATGCCCTCGTCGAAACGAAATTTCATGGCAGACAGTTTTCGTTCGTTACTTTAATTCGTTTTAACGAAGAAACGCGCTCCGCTGAGTAAAACGCTCGTTTGAGGAGACGCGCGCATGGAGAAACTGCCCGCTAACGAGAGGAAATCGCCGGGGAACAAGTGGAAAAATAGTAAAAAGATTGGCGCGCGTGGTTACGTAAACAGGATGTCTGAAGTTGCCAATGGCGTAGTGCAACACTCGTATCAACTATTCCTTGCATTTTTCACGGCCTGACGTGTGAATAACACACCTGCTTCTTTAATAGGTTTCTAGGATATACAATAAATAAACTGTTTCCCAATTACTATGTACATATTGATCGACACGCGAAGAACTTTTCACGTATCTACGGATTAACGCAAACTGCGAACACTATTTTTCATTGTATTTATTTAAGTAGGCTCTCTCAATCATTAAATTTTTAAATTCTTCAAACCTTTTACCTCATTTATTTGCAACTGCAGTTGGCAGTACAGGCAGATATTTTTTGCGGGCATTGTGCATCTGGCACTAACAGCACCGGTTTGGTACCGGTTCAGTGGAGTTAAGTACAGGGGAACTCACCTTTGCGGCGCGTGCTCGGAGCACGCGAAGACCTTGGCCACCTGGTCCTGCTCCTTGACTCTCTCGACGCAGAACTGGCCCGCAGGTAACGCGACCCCGTCGATTTTCAGGCCGCCGTCCGGCAACAGTTCTGCGTCCTTCGCGTCACCCAAAATCGTAATGTTGTCTGAATGAGGACAGTTCGGGAAACCGGTCACTATCTCGACCGCTGAAGACGTGTTCGGCAGCAACGGCAATGGCATCGAATTCGTTCCTTCCTTTAAGTGCTTGCACGTATGTCTGAAAAATTTCGCAACATACTTTATTTGTTACGAAACCTTGGATATTAATTGCGAATTTTTATATAAATGAAGAAATGAACTCCAGAGTAATTTTAACATTTCAGCATTGCAATATGCACTTTCAATATTTTTATTTCTATTTGCTGTATGTTTAATTTCTTCACAAACGCATAAAATTGATAGTTTAATTATGATGGATCGACGAGAGGGAAGGGAAAATTCTTCACGCGTTAAGATTAAGCATGTATTGCCTACACAGTCAATCCCAAAAGTTTATGCACTTTAGAAACGTATTTTTTAAAAAGAAATCAGACGTCAGAAGAACATTGCTAATAATAAACAA